ATTTTATTGATTTTAGAGAGGAGGAGAGAGAGACAACCATGATGACGAGAGGACATGGATGGGTTGCCTCCTGGAGGCCCCCGGGAGTCAGGCCCACACCGAGCAGAGCATGACTGGCCGCTCACCGGGCGCAAAGGGCGGCCCCTCGCAGAAGGACACCTGCCCCGGGGCTGAGCATCCGCCCGGAAGCCAGGAGGTCACGGTCAGGCAGGGGCTCCAAGGAGGGGCGTGCGGTAGGCAGCCGAGGGTCAATGATTCTCATCGCTGATGCTTCTCTCTCTCCCCTCTCCCTTCCTCTCTGAAATTAACACAAATACATTTTTTATAAAACTATCCACATACACATATAGTAAGTATATATGTATTGAGTCATATATATCATTACTGCCTGTGTCCCTAACATGCAGCCTGCTGGCCTGCCAAAGCTACTCTCCTGGCTTTTTAAAAAATATATTTTTATTAATTTCAGAGAGGACGGGAGAGAGAAACAGCATGATAAGAATAATTATCTGCCTCCTGCACCCTACTGTGGATCAAACCTGCAACCTGGGCCTGTACCTTTGGCTGGACTGAGTCCCCAGGCCGATGCTCTGTCCACTGCTCGGGCCAGGCGGCATTCTGGTTCCCAGAGCTGGTTTAAGTGAAGGAGCTTCTGGTAGTAGGTTTTCATGAGGGGACTCGATACACTTATACGCCCAGACGGGATCAAACCTGCAGCCAACAGGGGCACCCAGGGTCAGGAAATGAGCTGCTAAACAGTCAGCGTTTTGCTCTGAGGTTGGAGGCTTTTGGTTAGAGGTCAGCACTAAACTGCCTTGTAAGCCCTGCAACTAGTCACTTCCTGTTTGCAAGGGGAGGGAAGGCGGGGGGTGGGGGGGGTGTCGTGTGGAGGACGCTCAAACCCCTTCCCCCCCCTTCTCTCTCTCATACACACACACACACACACACACACACACACACACAGCTCCCCTTGGCACGAGGACCCCGGATAGCTAGTGTTCTCTTGAGCGCCCACTGCTGTTGACCTGGGGAAACCTGCAGCCAGTTGGGCTGTGTTTGGAGTGGACACCCTTGTCCTGGCACCCTAACCTGACCTGACGCTTCATCCTGTTTTCACCCGGACGGATGTCCTTGCGAATTCTGTCCTTTGTGTATGTGTAAGCTTCCTTTAGTGTTCTTTTAGAATGACACAGAGTACGTACACACTGGCACCACGGGTGGCCACCATGGCGGCTCTGACTGCAGGTTATAGTTGCAGCGCCTGTGGCTCCACTTACAATCCAGAAGGTGGGCGAGTGGGAGGAGACCCACCTGAACGGAAGCTGAGGGAGGAGAGAGGGGAGGTGCATGGGCTGGTGGGTGGTGTGATACCACATGTGGCTTACGCCCCTTCTGACTGTTTTAAAAAGGGAAGTTTCTTGTAGAGAAAACCAAGATGGTGGCGTAGGTAAACAACTGGTTTGCCTCTTGCACAATTTAAAAATTAAAACTAATATAAAGGACATCTATCATACAAAACCACGGGAAGGCTGGCTGAAAGAGAAAGGAGCGCAAGCACTGAAAAGCTGGAGGAGCCTAGGTATGGAGGCACGCGAATCCGGCTGGTGGCAGATGACTGGGCGCGCAGCTTTTTTCAACCCGAAAGGAAACAAGCTCCCCCGATCACTTTGAAATCCAGTTTCTGGGGTCACGTGGGGAACCCAGACGCCTATGGGTAGAAGCTGGTCTGTAGGCCATCTGGTCCGAAAGTGAGGGCGACTCTTGCAGAGGTGCGCACAGCAATAATTGTTTACTGCGCTGGATCACAGGGAAGCAGGGACTTGGAAACTCAGGGACTTGGAAACACGGAAGGGGAGGGACGGCAGCCATGGCTGTTAGCCGCGCCCCAACCTAGTGATGTCCTGAGGTCCCTCCTGCCCACACATTCTACAGACCCTCCCAGGCACCACACAGCTGCTTTTATATGGTAGCTTAACCATATAAACTGCAGCTCCAGCAACAAAAACACCAAGTCCCAAGCAAACAGGAGAAAACTGTAGTTCTTGCTGTAGCTCCTGCAGGGTGACTTCAGACAGTAGCTGAACTGAATCCCATTGGAGATTCAGTTCCTAGTGGTCAATTTCAACCACTCAACACCCAAAAGTGACAAATTCGGGAGACAGATTCAATGAGCACCAAAGCCCCACTAAAACAAACCATGTCTACAGAGCAGCAGTTCTTTCTTTATAGACACAGCGGGTCCTCACAGACAATTGGCCAATTCCTCCCAGTGTACCAACAGCAATCAAGGCTTAATTACACTAAGACTTTGCACTCGGCCTAAGAAGGGATATACCAAAAGCGACCATCTCAGGTGATTGGGGAAGCTGAACTACTGGACCCTATAGGTCACCTACCACACAAATCCATTCCATCAACACAGGGAGGCAGCCTAAAAGAGGAGACACAGAAACATGTCACAAATGGGAGAGATTGAGGAAAGTAAACTACTGGACAACACAGAGTTCAGAATCACATAAAATTACTCAAGAATCTTCTAAAAACCTTTGAGAAACTTGAGACCTCCAAGAAGTGTGGTGAGACCTTCAAGGACCTTAATGAGAATACCAAAAATATAGGAAAGGACTAGTCAGAAATTAAGCATACAGTGTCTGAAGAATATACAGAAACTCAACTATAGATCAACATATCCCAAGAATCAAACCAAAGATCTGGAATATAAGGAAGAAAAAATCACCCAACCAGAGAGGCAGAAAGAATCCAAAAGTATGAGGATAGTGTAAGGAGCCTCCGGGATGGCTTAAAGCGTACCAACATCTGGATTTTTGGGGTACCAGAGGAGAGTGAGCAGGATATTGAAGGCCTACTGAAAGAAATAATGACAGAAAACTTTCTCTACCTGGTAAAAGAAATAGACTTATAAGTTCAGGAAGCATACAAACAAGAGGAATCCAAAGAGGAATACACCAAGACACATCATAATTAAAATGCCAAGGGCAAAAGACAAAGAATCTTACAAGAAGCAGGAGAAAAAAAGCTAGTTACCTACAAGGGAGTACCCATACGACTGTCAGCTGATTTCTCAACAGAAACTATGCAGGCCAGAAGGGAGTGGCAAGAAATATTCAAAATGTTGAACAACAAGAACCTACAACCAAGATTACCCAGCAAAGCTATCATTCAGAATTGAAGGACAGATAAAGAGCTTCACAGAAAAAAAGTTAAAGGAGTTCATCAACACCAAACCAGGATTACATGAAATGCTGAAGGGTATTCTTTTTTTTTTTTTTAATGATTTTTTACAGCGAGGAAGAGAGAGGGATAGAGAGAAACATCGATGAGAGAGAATCATCGGTCAGCTGCCGCTTGCACACCCCCTACAGGGGATGTGCCCGCAACCAACATACATGTCCTTGACCTGAATCAAACCTGGGACGTTTCAATCCACAGGCTGATGCTCTATCCACTGAGCCAAACAGGTTTCGGCTGAAGGGTATTCTTTAAGGAGAGGAAGAAGAAAAAAGTAAAGGTAAAAATTACAAACAACAAAAAGACATAAAATACATACCTACCAACAAGTGAATAAAAAATCTGAAGAACAAATGGATTGGTAAATATAATATCTAGAACCAGGGGCATAGAAAGGGAGTGGACTAACAATTCTCAGGGGAAAGGGAGTCTGAGAGGTGAGGGAAGAGACTGGACAAAAATCTTACACCTATGGATGAAGACGAGCGGGGGTAAGGGTATGGGTGGAGTTGGGAATCAGGTGGAGGGGAGCTATGGGGGAAGAGAGGAGAAAGAGAACACCTGTAATAATCTGAACAATAAAGATTTATTATATATATATAAAAAAAGAAGTTTTAACCTGGCCTGTGTTGCGAAGTGAAGGTAGGCCCAAGTACCGAAGGGTTGTGGTGGTCTCCCTCCCTGCACCCCAGGGGCATGTGTGGGAGCCAGCCAATCCATCTGGTGCTCTCACATTGAAGATTCTCCCTCCTTTTCCTCCACTCTCTGGGGGGGAAAAAAAGGCAATGGAAAAATGTCCTCAGGTGAGGATTAAAAATAATTTAAAGCTAAAAGAATGTATACTTAAACATGATCAGTGTTCCAGGAATGTATTTAGAAAAATAGGGGGGCAGTCCTGTCTTGGCCAGGTGGCTTGATTGGTGGAGTGTCATCCTGTACACCAAAAGTTTGGATTTGATTCTCAACCAGGTCACATACCTGGGCTGCAGATTCCATCCCCAATCCCCAGTTGCGAGGAGTATGGGAGGCAACTGACGGATGGTTCTCACATCGTTCCCCCCCCCCCCTTTCCATCCTCTTCCTTCCCTCTCTTTCTCTCAAAACATACCCTCGCGTGAGGAGGAAAAACAGGCACGTAGTGTCCTTAGAAACCCTGCTTTGTAACCTTCCATGAATATTCAGAAAAGCCAGTGCCCATGTGGTTTGGAAGGATGTTTGGATACAGATAAGTGAGCTTGATATCTTTCTTGCACAAAATATTTACTGAGTTTTATAGAAGCATGTTTCTTTTTTTCTTTCTTCTTCTTCTTCTTCTTCTTCTTCTTCTTCTTCTTCTTCTTCTTCTTCTTCTTCTTCTTCTTCTTCCTTCTTTTTCTTCTTCTTCTTCTTCTTCTTCTTCTTATTATTATTATTATTATTATTATTTTGTCTTGTTTTTTGTGTTTATATCATCCTGGAGCTCCTGGCAGGGCTGCCCCCAGGGTTTCTGTCAACAACACTAAATTGCTCACCTGCACATGAAAAGCTATTAGGAACTTGATTAAAAAACAAAACAAAAAACCATCATAAGAATTAGCCCATTTTTCCAGAATAAATACTGAGAGGTTAGAACTAAAGCCCGTAATCTTCATGGAGATAGGCTTATACTTAGAAACTATAGTTAACTCATAAGAAATATCTGAAGAAGCACTAATAAACTGTATGACTTTGTTTTTTCTTTGCTCTAGTTGAGATTATAGACATCCTGCCAAATGTTTTCTACAAAGCCCAGACTTGTCGTACCTTATGGCCTCAAGACGCTGCTCGAGGGAGTTAGCAGAGCCATCCTCAAGACCAACCCGCCCAACATCACCCAGTTTGCAGCATTTTATTTCAAAGAACTTATTGTGTTTAGAGAAGGCAGGTGTTACCATTTTTAGGTTGGAATAGATGATATTTATATAAAAACATCCTATAGTTCTAGTTTTCCAATTCATTGAGTTAAACTTTATACATAGTTTCTTTAAATTGAGGAATACATTTATTAATATGATGGATATATTGTAGACTAGAGGCCTGGTGCACAAAATTCGTGCACTTGGAGAGTCCCCTCAGTCCGGCCTGCACCCTCGCAGTCCAGGAGCCCTCAGGATGCCTGACTAATGACTTAGGCCTGCTTGTGGGGAGTGGGCCGAAGCTGTCAGTCACCCATTCTTAGCGCTGGGTGACTGACAGCTTCGGCCTACTCCCGAAGTGTTGTCAGAGAGGCTCCTGCCACCGCCTCAGCGCTCACCCCATGGCAGCGCTCCTGCATTGAGCATCTGCCCCCAGTGAGTCAGTGCATGTCATAGTGACTGATCATTCTGCCATTCAGTTGATTTGCATATTAGCCTTTTATTATATAGGATTATATATTTCTATAAAAAAGCATTTAAGTTGGGAATTTTTTGTTTCTGATTTTCTGTGTTTATTCCTTCAGGGAATGTTCCTCTGGATATAAAAGATCTGGTTAGACAATTTCATCAGATTAAATGTAAGTACCACAAGTGGTAAATAGCACAATAATATTAGTTGTAAGTTGTTGAATCAGCAATGGCACACATTCAAACTTAAGATTTCTCTTTAAATAATCGTACTTTAAATAAACTGATGGTTTATTTTTTATTATTGGATCAGGTTTATTTATTATTTTTTATTTCTTATATATTTTATTGATTTTTTACAGAGAGGAAGGGGATAGAGAGTTAGAAACATCGATGAGAGAAACATCCATCAGCTGTCTCCTGCACATCCTGTACTGGGGATGCGCCCTCAACCAAGGTACATGCCCTTGACCAGAATCGAACCTGGCACCCTTCAGTCCGCAGGCCGACACTCTATCCACTCAGCCAAATCAGTTTTGGCCGATCAGATTTATTTTTTAAATCTAGGACTGACATTTTGGAAGGTTCTCAATCTTAAAAGGGCAAAAGTAGGAAACGTATTGCAAGCCGTTTGGTGCCGTGAGACTTAGAACAGTGCTGAGCTAGGACCCACATCCTCCGGCAGGTGCCACGGCCCTTGTGAGGGGGCACAGCGAGGGTGAAGGGAACTGGTTTTGGAGGAAAAGACGGCTCCACTGAGCACACAGGGAAGCTGCCTCACTGCTTTCCATGGCCAATCCTTTAGATCCTTTTATAAAGAAAATCTAAACTTCCTCCTTCCCCCCAGTGGTTTAACTGCGGTCCGGGCTGGAAGACAATTAGGAAACAAACTGGCTGTCACTGGCCATCTTTCCTGGCTGTCCTAAGTCTTAAGATAACGAGTTCTGCAAACATGCACTGGGAAGATGGTTGGAGAGGTTTCGTTCCAATATCAGGGACAGGCTTCCCCGGAAAAGGAAGTAGTTACTGTGCGGCTGATCACTCAGGCGTGTAGTGACAGCAGAAACACCTTATAGTTGTGCAGCTGTAGGATTTTCTAGGTCATCATCGGTTTTGACCTTCCTGGAATTTCCCTCATGCTGAGGGTTCCCAGTCCACACCAGGGATCCAGAAATCTCTTGCTCCTTTTTGTCTGGGTCAAGAGGACTGGCTGCATTACCCCATCTCACCAGCAGAGGCTGCTGTTTTAGGTTGGAAGAGCTGCTGTTTCCTATAGAAACACATCCTGTAGCCTCAGGTTTCCAGTTCATTAAGTTAAACCTTCTTCGCAGCTTCTTTAACCTGAGGAATACCTTTCTTACTATGGGCAGCATTGGAGGCATTCCATAAGCCAGCGGAGGCCGGTGTGACTGGCCGGGGAAGTCTACTCCCTCCCTCGTTTCCTGTGGCAGTTGGATCAGCAGCTGAGGCTTCGGCTCCTGCGTTTCCAGGCAGAGGGAGTGCTTTCCTCGGTGCTGACAGCTGACGGCCACTGGTGGTTTTGTCGTGTGCCGCCTGAGTCGCTCGCTTCTCAGGAGAGGCCGAGGGCGAGTTGGAGTAGGCAGAGCAGGCAGTCACGTAATCGTGACTCAGTCGCGGATGCCGTAAGATCAGGGCTCCTGGTACTCATGCTGATGGTATTGAAAGTGTGAGTGTTGAGCCTGTGGCTGCTGCTTTAATGTGTGTCGTCTGGGGGATGTATACTCACTAATCCCGGTTGCTGTTTCAGTTGAGAAATGGTGCGAAGAAAGGACAGAAGAGAAGAAGCCAGAGTTCATCAAAGAACCAGGAGAAGCAGCTGCCATTCCCAAAGAGCCGACCCGGGTGGAGAAGTCCACTGACACGGAGGAGGACCACATCGCCACCCCCCAGTTCATCCACAAGACCACGCAGTTCCCGTCGGTGTATGCCGAGCAGCAGTCTGAGCCGGAGGACACGAGCAAGGCAGTCCATCCTCCCAAACCATGCACCCCCAAGAGTACCCCCACCTCGTCACCAGTCCCGGCCGACGCCCCACCAGAGTTTGCCTATGTTCCCGCCGATCCAGCTCAGTTTGCTGCTCAGATGTTAGGTAACGTTTCGTCTAATCATTCTGATCAGTCTGACGTTTTAATGGTGGATGTGGCAACGAGTTTGCCTGTTTTTTCCGACGAGGTGCTGAGTTCAGAGGTTTCTGAAGACATGCTGGTGACCGCTTCTGTTACACATACTGGAGAGGGGGTAGCAGTGCAGTTGGCAAGCCACTCCTCTATCTCTGTAGCTTTGGGGTCTAAACCTGCAGATCATCAGGCTGAACCAGCAATGGCTCCCTCAGTCCCCTTGCAGGATGAACAAGACCTTCCTGCCATTGATCAAGCTCCTTGGGGGTCCTGGCAGGCTGGCACTGGGGGGAGGGGAATCCCTCATATCTCATCTATCTATAACGACAAACCTGTGATTGAAGCAGTTACTCACATGGAGCAAACATCAGAACAAGTAGTTACCGCTTTTTCCGATCACATTACTAGCGTTAAAGAGATTGAGCAGTCACCAACAGATAGTGCCGTTCTTGTACACAAGAAAGTCTCGGTCGGGTCTGAAACAGCTGAAGTTATTCAGGTGGAGCAAACATCAGAACAAGTAGTTACCGCTTTTTCCGATCACATTACTAGCGTTAAAGAGATTGAGCAGTCACCAACAGATAGTGCCGTTCTTGTACACAAGAGAGTCTCGGTCGGGTCTGAAACAGCTGAAGTTACTCAGGTGGAGCAAACATCAGAACAAGTAGTTACCGCTTTTTCCGATCACATTACTAGCGTTAAAGAGATTGAGCAGTCACCAACAGATAGTGCCGTTCTTGTACACAAGAGAGTCTCGGTCGGGTCTGAAACAGCTGAAGTTACTCAGGTGGAGCAAACATCAGAACAAGTAGTTACCGCTTTTTCCGATCACATTACTAGCGTTAAAGAGATTGAGCAGTCACCAACAGATAGTGCCGTTCTTGTACACAAGAGAGTCTCGGTCGGGTCTGAAACAGCTGAAGTTACTCAGGTGGAGCAAACATCAGAAGAAGTAGTTACCACTTTTTCCGATCACATTACTAGCGTTAAAGAGATTGAGCAGTCGCCAACAGATAGTGCCGTTCTTGTACACAAGAGAGTCTCGGTCGGGTCTGAAACAGCTGAAGTTACTCAGGTGGAGCAAACATCAGAAGAAGTAGTTACCACTTTTTCCGATCACATTACTAGCGTTAAAGAGATTGAGCAGTCGCCAACAGATAGTGCCGTTCTTGTACACAAGAGAGTCTCGGTCGGGTCTGAAACAGCTGAAGTTACTCAGGTGGAGCAAACATCAGAAGAAGTAGTTACCACTTTTTCCGATCACATTACTAGCGTTAAAGAGATTGAGCAATCACCAACAGATAGTGCCGTTCTTGTACACAAGAGAGTCTCGGTCGGGTCTGAAACAGCTGAAGTTACTCAGGTGGAGCAAACATCAGAAGAAGTAGTTACCACTTTTTCCGATCACATTACTAGCGTTAAAGAGATTGAGCAGTCACCAACAGATAGTGCCGTTCTTGTACACAAGAAAGTCTCGGTCGGGTCTGAAACAGCTGAAGTTACTCAGGTGGAGCAAACATCAGAACAAGTAGTTACCGCTTTTTCCGATCACATTACTAGCGTTAAAGAGATTGAGCAGTCACCAACAGATAGTGCCGTTCTTGTACACAAGAAAGTCTCTGTCGGGTCTGAAACAGCTGAAGTTACTCAGGTGGAGCAAACATCAGAAGAAGTAGTTACCACTTTTTCTGATCACATTACTAGCGTTAAAGAGATTGAGCAGTCACCAACAGATAGTGCCGTTCTTGTACACAAGAGAGTCTCGGTCGGGTCTGAAACAGCTGAAGTTACTCAGGTGGAGCAAACATCAGAAGAAGTAGTTACCACTTTTTCTGATCACATTACTAGCGTTAAAGAGATTGAGCAGTCACCAACAGATAGTGCTGTTCTTGTACACAAGAGAGTCTCTGGCGGGTCTGAAACAGCTGCAGGTCCTGCAGAGCTTGCCCCCGCCCCCGTGGAGGAAGCAAGCTATCCCTCAGTCCAGGTGGAGGAAGCAAACTATCCCTCAGTCCAGGTGGAGGAAGCAAACTATCCCTCAGACCAGGTGGAGGAAGCAAACTATCCCTCAGATCAGGTGGAGGAAGCAAACTATCCCTCAGTCCAGGAGGAGGAAGCAAACTATCCCTCAGACCAGGTGGAGGAAGCAAACTATCCCTCAGTCCAGGAGGAGGAAGCAAACTATCCCTCAGACCAGGTGGAGGAAGCAAACTATCCCTCAGACCAGGTGGAGGAAGCAAACTATCCCTCAGTTCAGGTGGAGGCAGAAGCAACCATTCTGGTCTCCGAAAGCACTCTGAAAAGCCTGCTTGCACAATCCCGGAACTCAGAGGGCTCCACCACAGGCTCTGAGAGATCTCTGCATATTGAAGTGGAGATTATTGGGCTAGAGCCCAGGCAGAAGGAGGACTTCGCCCCCCCTGAGGCAGAGGTTAGACCTGTGGGCTCTGGGGAAGCTGCCCGAGCCCGGCAGGAGGAAGACTCCGTCCCCCCGAAGGCAGAGGAGGCAGAGGTCAAACCTGTGGGCTCTGGGGAAGCTGCCGAAGCCGAGCTCTCAGGTGCCTCAGTAACGTCACCTGGTGGAACCCCCAGTCCTGCAACAGAGGGTCTCACGGGACCAGAGGCCGAACCCGAAGGGGAAGCAGCACCTGCACCAGGTTTGACGGAGCCAGGTAAGACATAGATACTTACGTTAGACATTGCGTCGAGTAGGGTACAGGTGGCGTAGTACTTCAGGTAACCGTCTAGGAGGGCCCACCCCCACAGATCGGTCAGACTTCACTTTAGGTACCTTTTACAATGCCACGCCCACGGACAGGCACTGCTGTTGTGGAGACATTCCTCTTCGGAGCAGTTTTGGAGGGACGTGAAGTCGTCCTGAGCATGGTCCTCAGCACTGCGTGGCCTCAGACTGGAGTGGACCGGAGCCTCGCGCTCGGAGGGTAAGGTCCCATGGCAGCCGTGGCTTCCTTGGGCTGTGGCATCACACGTGAAGACATGGTGGTGTGTTCGCCTCTGCTCTCGCTCGTGTCTGAGACTCTGCAGCCAGGCGGGGGAGCTGGACGGAGCCTGGTTCTCCTGCCGTGGAGGGAAGACGGGTCAGGTCAGCTCTGTCCCCAGGGAGCAGGAGGCGTGGCAGCTGAAGGACAGGTGGCACTGAGCCACGGGCACGGTTCCCTCTCGGCGTCCTCAGAGCCCACACCTGCCTCCGCCTGCAGAGCCACTGCTTCCTGGACACAGACAGCCTGGCTGCCAGCTCTCTGACGGTGCTTTGGGCCTACTCCCTCCTGCCCATCCGCACGCGATCAGGGCCCATCTCCCTGTGGGCTGGACAGGACGAGCAGGGCCAGCCTCTCCATGCCTTCTGCAGACTCTCAACATTGACTCTTACCAGAGCCAAACGATTGCTTACAAAGCAGGTGTTTAGAGGTCAAATTGTGTCTGGCAGCGTGACAGGGACTCTGTGCAGCTGGGAGGCAGCGGCCAGGGCTGCAGTGGCTGTCGGAGGCGGTGCACCTTTGGCGCGAGCAGCTCTCCACACCGAGCCGCTGCTCTCGGCGCCGGGCTGTTCCCCGTGAGCGCTGAGGCTCTTGAACAAAGCATGAGGTCATGGCTGATGCATGCTTTAAAGGAGCTCTGAGAAATGGCCAAGTGCCGGGAGCTGTGGGAGACACCCAGCGTGACCCTAAGGACAGCGTGGCCCTGAGTGCAGTGGTGGTGGCTTCTCCTCTGGGGAAGAGAAGCTGCACCAGGGACACGGCCAGTGCCCTCAGGGGAGCTTGCACATTGGGCTGGGCAGCACTCCCCGGAGCCTCCCTCCCCCGCTCCCTGGACTCAGGACTGCCTGCCATCGGCAAGTGGACCCCATTAGCGAGTCCTTGGCAGAAGCAGGTGGACAGCCCACCCAGACTTCCTTCCTCAAAGAACCCTGAGGGACCGACCAGCCTTAAGCCACTGAGGACCTCTGGGGTTCAGGCTGTGCTTAAAGGTGTGCCCCCGGGGTCTCAGTCATAGGGTTTGTGGTGACAAGTTAATGGGAGAGACGGTGCCAGTGATGAGAGAGAACCACGGATCGGCTGCCTCCTGCACACCCCACATGGGATGGAGCCCCAACCCAGGCATGTGCCCTCACTGGGAATTGAACCGTGACTTCCTGGCTCATAGGTTGATGTGCAACCACTGAGCCACATGGCTCAGATTTAAAAAAAAAAAAATCTATATATATTTTATTGATTTTTTTTACAGAGAGGAAGAGAGAGGGATAGAGAGTTAGAAACATAGATGAGAGAGAAACATTGATCAGCTGCCTCCTGCATACCCTCTAATGGGGATGTGCCCGCAACCAAGGTACATGCCCTTGACCGGAATCAAACCTGGGACCTTTCAGTCCATAGGCCGACGCTCCATCCACTGAGCCAAACCGGTTTCGGCATGGCTCAGATTTTTTTAGTCAAGAAAAAATTGCTGTGCAGATGCAGTCCTCCTTTCTCAGTGGCTTAACCCAGTGTCCTGTGGATCTTCTCGGTCCGTTCCCCTCTAGGGCCCTGAGGCAGCCACATCTGCAGCTGAAGCCCCGGAAACAGCCACTTTCCCCACAGTGGTGTCCCTGTGCCCGCCCAGCCATGCTCTGCCTCCCACCGTGGAGACTCCCTTCCCGCTGCCAGACACAATTATGGAGCCCTCTCTCTAGCATGCCTTATAGCACGTTACTACAGCTGTTCCTCTATACGTGAATGTTTACAGATCATTCTGTGCATAGCGCCTGATACAGAGACTGGACCTTAATGCCTGCACGTTTTTGTTTTATAGCGATAGCAACAAGCGAAGCAGGACAGCCACCACCATATTCTAACACGTGGACCCTTTACTGTCTGACCGATATGAATCAGCCCAGCCGCCCGTCACCGCCACCTGCGCCCGGGCCCTTCCCCCAGGCCACCCTCTATTTGCCCAATGCTAAGGATCTGCAGAACCCACCGCAAGTCACTTCTCCAACGTATGTGATGATGGACGACAGCAAGAAGGCCGGGGCCCCACCCTTTATCCTAGTGGGCGCCAATGTCCCGGAAGCGCAGGACTGGAAGCCGCTTCCTGGGCACCCGGTCGTGTCCCAGTCAGATACCCTGAAGAGATACACGACCGTCCAAGTGCCCATTGCCGTTCCTGCAGATCAGAAATTCCAGAAACTCCCCCGACACGCCCAGAGTGCCAGTCCTCCTTCCAGTGGGCAAGAAGGGCCCCGGCCACAGAGCCCCGTTTTCCTTTCTCTCGCTATCCCTGTAGAAGATGTAGCCAAAAAGTGTTCAGGATCTGGGGACAAGCGTACCCCATTTGGAAGTTACGGTATTGCTGGAGAGATAACCCTGACTACTGCCAATGTCCGCAGAGCAGAACCCTAATGCCGCAGGTAATCCCCATGGTGGGCACCACACACTCAGTCTCAGCATCTCCTGTGTCGACCTAGAGACTGAGAAGTCTTAAAAAAGGAATTGAATTGAGATGTGCCGAGTGGTGGAGATTGTCTGACTCGGTGAGATTGTCTCCACTGATGGGCACAGCCGTGCACGGGGCTGGGCACGGCCCTCGGCGCCCGCACTCTGAGTGCCTGTTGGTGTGTGTAGCTCCCGTGGAAGGTTCTCCAGGCGGGCATGGATGGCTTTTCAAAGGACACCCTTCACTGGGACTCTCCGATGGGCGTGGTTCAGGCTGGGGACCAGCTCGGAACAGCTGGAGAGCCAGCAGGCTGGGAGGTGTGAGGGAGTGGTTCCCTCAGAGAGGAAGTCACAGCAGAGGACGGGGGAGCTCTCCCCCCACGAGTGTAGTAAAGAGCAGCATGACCAGGGAGCTGGTGCCCAGGGTATCATCCAGGCTCCCTGTCGGGCCTGAGGTTGAGGGAGCCAGCCTGCAGAGGCCATGGCCAAGACCGCGCGCTGGAAAGCGACGGAGGATCCGCCCTGCAAGGGCCCAGGAGATGGCTGGTCACGGGAAAACAGGAGCACCACAGTCAGGGCCCCACACCCTGCAAGGAGGTCTGGATGGAAGGAGCCAGCAATGATAGGCCCGCTGGCTGCCGCGTGGAGAAGGTTGATCCCGAGACGGCACAGACGCAGCGAGTGAGGGTGCCTGTTACAGGGTCATGCCCAAACCTCACGAGCTCAGGGACAGCCTGCAGTGGCCTCAGGCTCAGCACCTGATGGACTAAAGCTGGGTTCCCTCTGGCCCGGAGCTGCAGTTCCTGTGTGTAAGGAGAGAGTTACCGTTACTAAACAGCCTGAGGCGGTGTGCATGGGATTGTCCAATTCTGCTAAAAGGCAGTGTTTTCAGGTGGAATGCGAGGCTAGTGAGTGCAGATGCAGGGAAACGGGTTGGGTTAAGTGCTCAGTGACGGTTGCACCTTGCATTTCTGACCTCTCGTGTCAGATGTTCAGGTTCCTGGTTGACCTTAAACATTCACTCCTGACATCATTCCTCACAGATGCTGAAAACCAGGCTGGCTGAGTCTACATCCCAGGTGGAGTGTGCCACCACGTGTAATGTATCAATAAACTTCATGCAGCATAACACCCGTTCTCTTGCCCCTTTGTCCTTCAGGCCCATACAGGCAGCAGACAAAGCTCACATGGACATTGCAAAGATTCTCGCCCAGCGTGTTCCCGGTGCTGAGCCTGAGACCACTGCAGTCTGTAACTGAGAGCGCTGCTCAGTGCTGGTGGCTCTCTGGCCCTGTCTGCAGCCCCACCAGGACTGCTTGTAAGGATGTTCTTTCAAAAAATGGTGATTGCTCTTTTTTTTTTTTTTTTTAGAGGAAAGGGAGAGAGAAACATGCCCCAACCGGAATCGAAACGGTGACCTCTTGGTGAATGGTCAGCACTCAGCCACTGCGTCACACTGTCTGGGCTGTGAGGACATTCCTTAAAAATATATTTTATTGATTTCAGGGAGGGAGGGAGGAAGAGAGAGAGAGAGAGAGAGAGAGAGAGAGAGAGAGAGAGAGAGAGAAATATCAGTGATGAAAAAGAATCATTGATTGGCTGCCTCCTACACGCCCCACACTGGGATTCGAGCCCCCAACGTGGGCATGTGCCCTGCCTGGGTATGTGTGACCAGAAGTCAGTGCCCAGCCACTCAGCCATGCTAGCCGGGCTTATTATCGTTTGGGGTCATTCCTTCCTTACCCCAGTGCATGCATTGCAGTATCTTTGTAGTGAATTCTGTCAGTTCCCTGATCGGAGACACCTCGTCTAGCCACTTAATCTCTCACTCCAAAGGCCGCTTCTCCCCTCTGGCCTCAAGTCCCAACTGCTACGCAGCCCCCTCCCTCGGGCCTTTCAAACTGCCCCAGTAACATGTAATGTAAAGGTAAAGCAGTGCCCAGCAAGCAGCCTCTAAGCAAAGACAGCAGACCCAGCTCCTGGCACAGAGCACTTTGCTTACCACAGAGCACGGTGTTAAAGAGCCAGACTCAACCAAGTACATTTGAAGATGTAATTGGCTTTATTGAGGGATTCATGCATTGAGTGGCAGCCCGTCTAACAACTAGGAGGCGTGTTCTGAGCACAGTGCACACTGGGTGTCAGAACCGCGTGGCCCGTGGGAGCAGGGGCCGGTCAGGCATCGGGAGTGAAGCCTAGAAACAAGAGCCAGGACTCGTGCCGGGGGTCGGTCCGTAAGGGAGAGAGTGGCTCCATGGGGGAACCTGAGTGGAGCTGACAGCTGGCACGGCTTTGTGGGGGGGTGTTTGGAGCTTACAGGGGCAGAAAACTCCCCTCCCGGTCTTCGGCTGATTAAATTGACCCACAGGAGAGCACACTGCACATACTGGAGCCCCATGCAGCTCCGGGCGCTCAGGCTCACCTGCCGCCTGAGCCGGATCGGGGCCGGGCTTCAGTGGAGGGAGACGGTTCTCAGGAAGATGGGCGAGCAGATGCTTACGGTGGTGAGCAATGGTGCCAAGCGTGCACCAGGCGAGTGTCTACTCTGAGAAGCTGCCTCCGCAGCAGCACTTTCCTGGAGAGGCCTCGATCCGAGCTCAGGGTTCAGGGGGAGGGGAAGCACTGAGTCTGCGAGGCCTGGGTTCTCTTCACAATGCTGTCCATGCCACGTGGCCCCACTTGTGGTGTGTGCTGCCCCTCACCTGCGCGGTGAGGCCGGCGCCAGGCGGTTTGCCGGTGAGGCAGCGGCCTGCCAGTCTGGGACGTCCCAGCCTCAGGGATGCGCTCTAAAGGGTGCGGGCAGGACGGCTTTCCAGGGACGGCAGAGCCCTGCACGGCCGATGGTGATGGAGAAAAGCGGGTGTATTGATGACGCATAGAGCTAAGAGCCAACGGGGGACCGGTGCCTTCTGGGAAAAGCCATGACAGAAGGGATTGATTGGAAACAACAAAGAGGCCCACTGTCCTGCCCCCGCCCTGGAGATGGTGCTGCATAGGCAGTGTGTGTGCAGGTGCAGCCGCCTCTCTGCCCCCTCCGCCTCTTCTCAAGGAAGACAAAAGTCATTGCAACTAGTGGCCCCTGCGGCTCAGGGGTTAAGCATCAACCTATGAACCAGGAGGTCACAGTTCGATTCCTGGTCAGGTCAGGGCACGTGCCTAGGTTGCAGACTCGATCCCCAGTGTGGGGTGTGCAGAAGGCAGCTGATCCATGATTCTTATCATTGATGTTTCTCTTTCCCTCTCCCTTCCTCTCTCTGAAATCAGTGCAAAAATATACAAATAATGGCAACTTATCCTTTTCCATCCTAGCACCCTAGGAAAAACACAGGCTAGCTGCTCCTCCCCTGACCCCTGACAGCGCCCAGGCCTGCCCAGGCCAGGCCAGATCCCCAGCCTGCCTCTGAGCCTGCTGTGCCTCCCCTGCTGGCTGGAGTTAGCCTGCAGACCCTCCCCCCTGGCCAGCCCCGCCCCTGATCGCTCCCCACCCCAATATGGGGAGGGGCCAGCCAGCCAACCTCCTGCCATCTCTTCCTCCAGGCAGGCCCAACCCTGATGGAATTCACACACTGGTGAGTTAATCCCCCACCTCACCAATTTATCTGGACTTGCCTGATGACATCTGACCTACTTTTCAGCATTCCGGGCAGCGATGACTCAAAGCCCTCCCAGTCCCGGTCCATAAAGTCCTCCTCCGGATAATGGGGCAAGCTTTAGTGCCTCCCCACGCACTCGGAAGGCTCACGGCACCAGGGGAGTGTTTGTAACATGCAGCGCACGAAAGAGCATGCTGGGTGTTTCAGGCTTAAGTCATAACAGGGACACTGCATCAGGCACTGCGGTCGATGGGGAGAGAGTCGGGTCGGGGGAGAGATGTCATGTCGGGAGGTGGGAGGGGAGCAGGTAGAGAGCGCTGTGGGCTCCTGAGAGTCTGGGAAGCAGCAGACAAGAGTTGGAGGTGGACCCAGGCTGCAGCAGGCGCAGAGCATCTGACCAGTGCATTGTGGTGTGAGGTCCGTCCGCTCGGTCCTGTGTCAGTGGGTCAGCCCGGCCTGGGCCTGGGCCCGGGAAGGCGAAGCCCTGTCTGTCCGCCCGGAGTTCCACTCCGCGATGGCTCCTCCTGGTGGACAGGGCTGACGGCGACCCGAGCACGCTCCGCCTGCACAGCTGCAATGCTGCCTGCTCCTGAGCTTGGAGAAGACGTGGGGGAAATAGCGTTTCCAGAGTTCACGTCTGCCTGCCATTTCTTACAACGGAGTAGGATGGGCTTGGGACACGAGGGGAGTTGCTTTGTTCTAGAACAGTGTTTCCCAAACTTCTCTCATGATGAGAATCACCTGGTGGAGTTGTTAAAATAGATTCCTGAATTCCAACTAAGAAGTGCTAAACTAGCCAAAACCCGTTTGGCTCAGTGGATAGAGCGTCGGCCTGCAGACTGAAAGGTCCCGGGTTCAATTCCGGGCAAGGGCATGTACCGTGGTTGCAGGCACATCCCCAGTAGGGGGTGTGCAAGAGGCAGCTGATCGATAACTCTCATCGATGTTTCTAACTCTCTATCCCTCTCTCTTCCTTTCTGTAAAATGTCAACAAAACATATTTTTAAAAAAAGAAGTGCTAAATTAGAATTTTTGGGAACATATAGGTAAAATTGTATACTTAGTGCTCTTAGAGCAAAAATTCTAGTTTAGAATTTTTAACAACTCCACCAGGTGATTCTCATCATGAGAGAAGTTTGGGAAACACTGTTCTAGAGCAGCACTGTCCAGCAAGGTGACTGCTGTCCACGTGTGGCTGTTTAAAACAAAGTAGTTACAATGAGGTGGAATGAGAAAACCCTGCAGGCAGATGTCAAGAGCTCAGCGGGCACCTGAGCCTTGTGAGGACGGCACTGGACAGGCGAGGCTGCAGGATGTCCCTCGGGACGGGAAGTCCCACCGAGCAGCAGCTCCACACACCTGCCCTGGTGGCCG